CGTAGCGAAATTTCCGAAATTACAGAAATTTCTAAAACTTCTAAAATTTCTAATATTTCTAAAAGATTTTCATATTCTCTGCTATGTAGTTATCGAGTTGATGGAAGCTTCGGAAATTTCTGTAATTTCCTTTTTCGGAAATCTGAACATACCTCATTTTCTGAGAGGTTCCTCAACTGTAATGGTCTATTGCGATTCAAGAGTTCAGAAATCACGGAATTCGTATACATTTATCTTGTTTTGTGATTATATCAATTTTACTTTGTAGCACGACAAAATCAAGGTGAAGAGTGTCCACCTGGTATGTGTCGTTCTAAATGGGGATTTTGTGGAACTGGTCCGGAATACTGCGAAGGAAAACATGGCTCTTCAAATTCCACTACAAAGCCACAGCTAACTCGTAATTTACAAAATGCTCACATTAACACCTTATTTTTGTTAATATGTCAATCTTACTTTTTTCTAGGAAAAAAGTGTCCACTTGGTATGTGTCGTTCAAAATGGGGTTATTGTGGAACTGGTCCGGAATACTGCGAAGGGAAACATGGCTCTTCAAATTCCACTGCAAAGCCACAGCTAACTCGTAATTTACAAAATGCTCATATTAACACCTTATTTTTGTTAACATGTCAATCTTACTTTTTTTCCAGGAAAAAAGTGTCCAGCTGGTATGTGTCGTTCAAAATGGGGTTATTGTGGAACTGGTCCGGCTTACTGCGAAGGGAAACATGGCTCTTCAAATTCCACTGCAAAGCCACAGCTAACTCGTAATTTATAAAATACTCACATCAACATCTTGTTTTTTGGACAAGTCAATTTTCCTTTTTTTTTTTTCAGAAAACAATCAAGGAAAGAGCTGTCCACCTGGTATGTGTCGTTCTAAATGGGGATTTTGTGGTACAGGACCGGAATATTGCGAAGGAAAACATGGTTCCTCAAATTCCACTGCAAATCTACAGACAACTAGTAATTTTAAATGTTCACATTTAACATCTTGTTTTGTTGATAGACCACTTTCGATTTTTTCTAGGAAAGCATCCAGGAAAGGGATGTCCAGCTGGTATGTGCCGCTCGAAATGGGGTTATTGTGGAAAAGGTCCGGTATATTGTGGAAACACGCCTTCAACTTCAGTTGATCATAAACATAAAGAAGATCGTTCGCAAAGTCAACGACCGATATCTAGTGAGACATATTCTTCGAACATGACGTATTTTTTGTAAGAAATAATTAGCTGCTATTTGTCAGGACATCTCAAGCATGAGTCACCTAAAATATGGTCTTTATGATACAAATCGTGAGCATTTTAAATATGATGGAGAGAACTTGGTATATCCCTATTAAAGTTGGTTTGATGACTAAGACCATCATATTGAAAGTTTCTTTTAGTATCACAGACTGTGGCAGATATGTCGAAATGTGTGTCACAGTCTGTTCAACATTCGTAACTAATAGACCTTTTTTGCTTTTTAAAAATTCATGTCACGAATAAAGTATAATTAAAGATTAAATTGCTAGAGGAATATTACAGTCATATTTGTAGATACTGGCTAGAAGACATTGTAGGGCGAGCACTAGCTGTAAGAACATTTCCCTCTTTACATCCTTGATTGATGAAAATTGCAGTTTTGCATACATTTTTGTTTGAAAATTTTCTTGAAACGAAACTGATACTAGGGAGTAGAAGAAAAGATCATCTTGACTCATCATTTTGTTTCATTAGGACTCTCTTGACTTATACAGCTCATTTTCAATATGATGCGTTTGAGTGGATCAATGACATTTCGATAAGAACTTGTGAAAGGACTCGATCAATATTGTTAAGATTTAGTCATACATATTAGTTTAGCAACAACTATACTATTCCTGCTTATCAGAAAGTAGTAAAGATACTTCAGGTTGATGAAAGAAGGAGAGAAAAAGGTGGCTAATTGTTTCTTAATCTCTAGCTGTAGAAATTATGCTTGTTCGAGACAGAAATAGATCTTTAAAAAAAAGCAATAATGACTTTTCTAAATTATCAATATTGTTCCGAATTATTTTTTTTTCCTTTAGGAAACACTTTTATAGGGGAAGGGACACATTATATTGTCAGCGTTGGCTACACAGCATGTGGAACAATGCACAATGATAATGAATATATTGCTGCACTGAATGCAATACAATTCGATCGTCAAACACCAAAAAGTAATCCACAAAAAAATAGCTTATGTAATAAGCTAGTCCATGTTCACGGTCCAAATGGATCTGTTACAGTGAAAATTGTTGATAAATGCCGTGAATGTCGTTATGGCGATCTTGCTTTATCTAAAGTTGCTTTCAAAAAAGTCATTGGAATTATTGGTGTTGATCGTGTAAAAATCAAATGGAACTGGTTTTGAAAATGTGTCAGTTTTAAATGCAGACCATTTTATTTTCACGTTTTTTTTGTACAAAAATAACGAGTTTTTGTTGGATTTTTTTTACTTTGCTTTTTATTCATTTTTCTGTCCAACTTCATCACACTTATGCGCAAAAGTGGTTAAATAATTATTTCAATCGAACAAAACACTTATTCTACATCAAAAATTTGAGTTTTATATTTATTTATTATTTATTTCTATTAGCATCTAATGTTCGAACTTTTATTTTTAATAAATAAAAACAATAACTTTCTTTTAAGTATCAATCGATATTATATATCCATCGATTGATAGAAATCAATAGAAAAAAAAAGAAAGAGGATAATATGAGATGGTTGGAATGATAGATATTGTCGACTTGAAGGTAAAAGCATCCATCGTACCAAACATTTGAGTATAATTAAATAGTTTTATACATTTAAACTAGAAATATTTAGATTGATATGGAATTCTAACGTTACTTCGAATAAAAATGATTGTGTTTCTATCTGTTGAGTAATAGAATGGTTGATAAACATTTTATTTCTCAAATCAGAATTATTACAATAGATGATATTGACAAGCATTATCAAAATAAGTATTAGTGCAACACGATTTTCAGTAATCTCATAACGATAGAAAACGTAAGCTTCTTATTTAAAGAGAAATTTGGTAGTAATAGAAGGTAAATACATTTTACATAAAATATATTTTTTCCCATTGAATAGACATTTGATATGGGTGAGATATGCATACTTCTTTTTTAATGGAAGTTCATTTTTTCCATTTTAAATTTAATATTCTATTTTTCTTTGCTATTGAACTATCAATACGTAAGGTTAGGAAGACAGAATGCAAATACTTCAACTCTGACTTCAAAAACTTCTGAAAATTGTTCGCCTTGTAAATGAATAACAACTTGCATATATGAGAGTATAGTGCTCTTTACACATTATGTTATAATGGCCTTTTCGCTTGAACGTTCTCATGAATATTCAATCTGTTTCATGCACTGATCTTGCTTTTTAGATAATTGTGTAATGTTTCAAAAAGAGAATTCAAATATTCTGAATCGAAAAAATAACTTGATATTTTCTATTAAACACTCATCTTTGGCTTTATATTCAATTGGTCACAATCCTCTAATGAAATCGATCCTACAATGTTGATTGTGTTCTATATAGCAGAATTCACTTATTTTTACTAGTTTTGTTCAGTTTAACTGTATTTCTGGAAAATTTCAAAAGTTTTTTTCTTTTAATATGGTTCGATAGAAAATTGATTACTCTATCGAGCTGCATAGTTTTAATTTGATTGATTTCACATCTTGACTAAAATTTTAAAACATTTGCATGCTCATATTTCAATTAGAATAAATTCAATTTTCGTGAAAATATTTTTTAGATTGCAGAGATCCATCAAACTTAAAGTTCTAGAACATGTTGAATAGAATCGTTTCGAATCGAATGAAAAATACTGACTTCTAGTTTTATTCGCATAATCGAAAATTTACCTACAAGATCTCAGCTAAATCAGACTAAAAATTTCATGAATCGATAGACAAATCAACGCTCTAGCCAACTATACATTAATGAAAAAGATTTTCATGCTCAACCGACTATAATTTACTCGAGAAAATCTACTATTAAAAATTCTACAAAACTAAATTTAGAAATTCAGTCAAAATGAGGAATCAATCCGATGAAAAATATACAATTCGATAGAGAAATGAATGCTCTATTCAACCATACAAAAAGAAGAAAAAAAAACTAGTAAAAATAAGTGAAACATTCTGTAGAATTCACAAATAAATTTTGACGTTTGTTTTGTTTTCAAGTGAAAGTCAATCTGTTAAAAGATGATTTTGTATGATTCGGAGTTCTCATAAAATGCATTACCTTTTGACTACGTCAGAGTAGGAGTTCGAAGCTACGGGCAAGTCTCTAATGGCGATATTGCTATCAATATAACTCTATATCATTTGTGTATCAAATCCACATTGTTATAGAAGTTAGGTTGATAGAGATTGAAAAGAAGACCTCAATCGTATCAGGTTTGCCAGTGATTATTCCAAACAGTGTCAACAAACTAATTGACTGACTCTAACGGCTATCAATTAAAAGATGTTTGTGGGTGTGGGTGAACAAATCAATTAAGATACACGTGATTGTTTGATTGAAAACCGATTGAATATGAAATATGTCCTGTTCTTACGTATTAAGACAGATGAACGAATATTCATGTGATTAGTTCACCAATTGTTAATTTTGATTGAAACGTTATTCGATTAACGTTCGACTGATTTTAAGTATTGAGAATCAACAGGAAAGAAAAAAATGAAACTATTTTTCACATTGTTTGAATGATGTCAATACAAATTTTGATTTGGAAAGAAAAGCGTATTTACTGAATGTGAACTTTTCATTGTGTTACAATTAATCTTTAGATAATTGTCGATTTGTGTTCAAATCAAGAATTTCATTCTCACTTTGTTAACATGTGTGCCTTATGATGATTTAACTATATTTATCATCATAGTTTTCAATTGTTTTGAAAAATTGCTGTTGAAATAAATAAATAATCAATTCAAACAATCATATACAAAAAAAAACAGGAAACATCTAATAAAATAAAATGTTAAATTCTGTTTCTTGTTTATCCATGCTGCTATAATAATATTCTATTCTTATTCCATCATTAGAAATTTGATTCATTGTAAATCCACTGTCGAAACCATCACGTGTAATATTTGAAACATTTAATATTAAATTGGGATATTTTATTTCAAATTTTGTTGATAAAATCATTGATTTTTCTGTATTAAAATTAATTAATAATTGTTTTCTATTTGAATCATATTGAGCTCGACTAACACGTATCAATGGATATTCAACAGCTAAAACTTCTGGTTCATGATCAAGAAACTTTTGATAAAATTTCGTATTATAAATATTTCGTAGAAATTCTCTTGCATTATATCCATTTTCACCCATTAACAATGATAATAATACATTTGTTGTAACCCAATTTGAAAACATTGTATTTGTTTCATAATAATATGATTCAAAATAACCATCATTATCTGTATCTAAGAATGTTCCAAAATTATTATCAAACCATAAATAAGTACAATTTAATTTTTCTGTTACTTCTATTGAACATTGTTTTTCAACAATTGGATAAAATGATGTTGCTAACCATTTACTGAATTGCATACGATCACCAATATAACCACCACTATCTAAAAAACAGCCTGGTATTGTATGATTTTCTGATGGTTTCCAATATTTATTTTTATACATAATTTTTCATCCATCACAAATAAAATTTGATGTTTCATTATGATCAAACCATGAAGACATCCATGCTAAAGCCCATCCATCATTACCTGTTGCTGCAAAATATGGAATCCAGGTGTGAGTAGGTCTGTAATATAACATTTTAAAATATCGATCTTCTTTAAACATAGGTATATCTTCTAGAGCATGTTCTATTAAAAAAATTTTTCATTTAGATAATATTCGAGAAAAATTTGTTTTACTATTACGAACAATATCATAGAGTTTGAAACCAATATGTGGATGATTTTGACATATAGTATAAACCCATTCAGGTTCACAAGATACACCAGCCGATGATTCTTCATTCATTTGGTAACAAATAGCATATGCTAATTTTGTTGTACTATAATGTATTTTAGTTATTCGGTCGTTATCTTTATCCCATATGAAATCGAATCCATCCATATCATATGTGAAATCACCTGAAAGACTCTCATAAAGTGTCAATAATTGCAATAAATGACTACTATACATTATATTTTCATGGCAAACAGGATCAGGAAATGTATGTACATTTTTCCAATAACGGTCAATATATCCCCATACTTTGATATTTAGCATACGTTCAATCGAATCTTTCAATATTTTTATTGCTAATTCAAGATAATTTGGTGTTCTATAAGCTAATGCTGCTGCTGTATAACCAATATGAGCTAATGAATATCGAATAGAGCCTAAATCAAATTGAGGACTATCATAATTTTTTTTCCCAACCATTCCATGTTAGATTCGTTGTTGTTGTTGTTGTTTGCATATAGATTAAATATGAAATGAATCGAATTAGTTTCAATTCTTTTTCGGATAGTAATTGATTTGTATCATCTTTATTATTTACTATAGATTTTTGAACTTGTTGAAATGATTTCTGGAAATGATCATTTCCAAAACTTTATGATATAGACAAAATAAAAATAATAAACCAGAAATAATATATCATCAATGATTGCAAATGCATATCGATGTCTTATCGTTCATGCAAAAAATTTCAATAAATTACTTGAAAAATATGGTCAATACTTTCAAAAGGTATTCGACTGTAATTACTAAAGAAAGTCATAAATGGAGTGATCTTGTGACAATAAAATATGAATTCATGTGACAAGAATGACAAAAACTATTTTCTCTATATGATAAGAAGGACTAAGAGTTTGTTTTTATCTATATTGATTTTTTTACATGACGATAAAACAACAAATATCCTTAAAAATTGTCGTGCAATGCTTTCAAATCGAAGAAAATCAAATCAATTTTTTTCCAAGTTTTCTGTACATTGTTTGATAGAACAGCTGTAGAGTGTATCGGTATGGATGTCCATGTCGGTGAATTGTGGATGGGTGCGGGTGTTATTAAAGAGAAGATCGAAAGGGTGAGGTGTGGGTGAAGAGAAGATCAAAATCCCACCCACACTCACACCAACACCCGAGTCTATGGATTTGGGAGCCGAAAATCTATGATCTTTATGTGCACAAACGTTGCCAAAGTTGAATAAAGAACTCGATTTGCATTTGACCAGGTTTAGTGAATCTATAGTATTGAGGATTTTCAATGCAAAATAGAGCTGATGACAAGCTTGTCATCTAATGGAACAGTTTATTCAACGATTCGTAGCTTATCTTCATGGGTGACAATAAAAAAAACCTAATATAATGGAAATTGTTTAGGTTTTGAAATCAGAATAGATGTTAGTGAAGTACAAGATGAGTATTCCCTGGACTGAAAAGCTAGGGTCTAAAAGCCGTAATTCATGTGCGTATGTCTTCCTGAAACAACTATGTGATACGGAGGACCGTTGCCATATTACAAAAGGATCATTTTCACAGTGCAAATGGCCGTTTCTATGGTGCAAGTGACCAGTTCTTTGGGACGTATGACACTTTCGATGGTAAACTTTGTCATTTCTGTGGTAGAATTAGGCATTTTCATGAAACAAAAAACTATTAAAACTATATAAATAACTGTTCTTGTGTTATAGAATATCACTTTTGTTTTATATAAGGAGCAATTGTAGTGCATTAATTAAATCAATATATCTTTTCGGTCAACTCAACGTACTCTATACTACACACCAATCAGCCTAGGGTCTTGTAAGTTGGCTTTGAATATCGATGAATTTTACTTGTTGATAATTAAATGTTCGTATTCTATTCCGTTGAGTAGACGACTTGTTATTATATTTCTAATGGAAATTAATATAATATTGATTGAAGTTTCAGTTCTTATAGTTTATGAATATGAATTCTTCTTCATTTGTGGGACATCAAAAAACAAAGAATGATACAATCCAAATAATATAACAACTATTCGCATAGAAATAAACAAACAATGTTTCCAGAATTGAAATGATGACATCATTTTTATTAAGTATTTAAGAATAGCTAACTAATCAAATAAAATCAATTTCATTTTAATTACTTTTGAATGCTGTTTAGATTTGTATAATCTCTATGAAGATAAAAACTACTCAACAAACTATCAAATAAGTTGTCAATGAAGATCTACGTTTTCTTTTGGGTGACTTTTTCATTTACATACTCAATGATATTGACTTGATCGCTTTTGTGTCTTGTCAACAGTGATAGATAAAAACAAAAAACAGCATATGAAGGTACATATATATATATATATCCGAAAAGAAGATGTCATAGAATCGTACAACAACGAGAGTAACATGCAAATCGCTCTCCAAAGCATCCACAACAGTTGAGTGGATAATCATTTTCATAAATCACTAAACCTTTTCCATGTACAGGGTACTGACAAAACCGAAAGTTGTTACCTAGAATTAGAAATTGTTATGATGAATAGTAGCATAGAACTTTAGATTACCTAATGTAGAATCTCGTTTATTCATATATTTGCTGTCGAGAGTGTATTGAACTTCTTCAAAATTTAATCTTTCTACTGTGCACATTAATCGACGCATTTTGTTATTCGATCTTGTGTTTGGTTGAAGAAGTTTCTCTTGATATTGCCTTTGAAGATTACCGTTGAGTTGAATGCCTTCGTTGGCTTCGTCGGACTGAAGTGATTGAAGAAATTGGTAAATGGATGATTCTTTTGACCATGGCTGTTGATTGTCTGACCAGAAGGGCGTACGCTGTGCCTTTTTTATCCGTTTCTTCGGTAGAAATGAGTTCTGGTAGTAGTTCGTAGTCGTAGAGGAATACCACTTAATTCGTAAAGTAGCCGAATGATAGAAACCACCGCCACCTTTACAGTCGGAACAATGGATTTTCCCACCACCTTTACATGAAGAACAACGCACTTTACCATTGTAACACCCACATATGATAATTTGTGTTGATGTCTCTGTTCGACCACGTCCGCTGCATGATGAACATGTAACCCATCCACTTCCATTGCAGCCAGAAGCATTACAGGTTACTAAACCTTTTCCTCGACAATTATCGCATCTGCTTAAATAGTTACAATGAGACAATGATCTATCAGATTTTGCATTGTCAGATGCTGGGATTGGAACTTCATAATCCCATATATCACCTACTGGTTGGCCACCACGTGTTGTGCTCTCGAACAATCGACCTATAACATAACATCGCCTTACCAGCAATAATATATGACTTGTACACTTATTAATCTTTGCTTGAGTGTGAAGTAGAGTTCTATGTAGGAATGACTTATCCGTTGGTCGTTTATTGCTATAGTTTCCGAAAGACTTACATCATTCCTATCAGTATTTTAATTTTGTTCATTTCAAGAAAAAGGACTCATGTTATTGAATATTATCTTCATGAAATAACACATTTCTCATAATGTGTAATATCCGATCAAAATTATACAGACAACAGAATAAAAGACAAATTCTTGGACGGCATAATTTAATGATAACTAATTGAGACTATCGGATAAAAAAATAATTTTTATCAATTTTATTTCAATTAATTTATGCAGTTGTCAATCTAAATTAGTCACGTAGTTTTTCCTGCTTTCAAATTTGCTAATTTCTTATACATTAATATGGATGGAAGTTTAGATCTGTTAATAGGATAAATTCTCTACACATTCGTTATTGTCGTATTTTATCTCTATTAAATACTTTAATTATATTCAAGTCAATCTGTTGAATATAGAAATAGGGCAAACAGATTTTCAGGATTGAAAACTTTTCATATTGCTTCTGTTCTTAAACTCTCATGGAAATTCTCGTTTCCGATTCTAACGAGAAACATGACGGAAATACACGTGAAAAATTTGTTCCCATAGGATTCCACTATGAAGTTTCTACTCACTTACAGTAATATCAAATTGAACACAAGAGAGGATTCACTCAGAACAATATTTGAAGTTGAAATTTTCCAAGCAATCATTTTCCATACTGACCTCTCATATATACGAAAACAAAAAAGATTTAAAAAAAAATTGATTTACATCTCATTTCTTGAACAGTTTTGTACATGCGATCCTAATTAACTTTGCCAACGAGGACTGGCTGAGAATTGGCATTTGATTACTAGATGGTACATTTATCTACTCACTCGAGGGACGTTCTCGAAATGATGTTCATGAACTATATCACTGGGAATGGCAGATTATTGTTTTATTGGTAGGACTACATAGAAATAAATTCTATCTTCATGGAATCTTATAGAGAGAATTACGATAATCGGTAAAAAATCTCAATTCACAAAACAATGTATAATAGAATAAAAAATAGACACATTTACGTGATACAAGACAAGATTCAAGTCACCAGCTAGTCATCCGAATAGGTAGATATGAACTTGATTGAACAAACACAATGTACATATATGAGAACAACCCTTTAAAGATGCATAAAATTTGAACGCCAACTTAGCATGATTTTCGGCTAATAGTAATAAGTCTACAAATGAAATTTTGTCCTAATACACTATAGACTATCATAGCAAACGAAAGCTAATAGTAATTTTTCATGAACGTATCAATGTTTTAGGGTAAGTTAAATAAAATAAGGTCATCAATGAATAGATAATGTAACGATATTTGGAATCCTCAGGTAAGTGGCGTAACCAGGGAACCGTTGATGGTGGTGATGGAGGAAGGGAGCGGTATCTCATTCTAGACGTTCAGTAAAAAACGGCAAAACCAAATAAAAACTGATGACCGGGCAGGAGAATTAAGCACACGCCACTAGCTCAGATTACGACGTAAAGTAAACGAGTAAGAGACATGAACATTTGATACACAGATATATCAATCATGAGACAAGAAATATCAACATGGAAGAGTAAGAAGTAACACATGTAACATTTATAGTTAACTAGTAAAAATCAATAAAAGCCAGCTGCAATATACAACTGGAACGAAAAAGTTTTCATGATTATTAAGTATTGACGAATAAATGAATCTATCAGCTGTACGATTTAAAACTAGAAATGTGTTTCTTTCAATAGATCTGTTTCATCCTTAACATCTTGCCTCAAAGAACTTACCCAACGTTTCGCTATGAAGTACTCTTTCATGATGCCAAGTAGCAGGCACCTTTTTCCATTTTACATTTCTGCTTTCGAGAAGTACTTTCAGGTGACATTGGTAGGCTACTTTTGCTTGTACATTCACAAGTTCTGCTGTGTCCAGGGCTACAGGGTGATAGCAGCATTTGGATTCGACATACGTCTTAAAATCAGTCAAAGGTTTGGGCAATGGGCGTGGTGGTGGTGGTGCTGTTGGTTGAGGCAATAAATCGGTTGCGTTTGGTCTTGTTGCTTCTGACAGCTGACTAGCATCTAAAGTAAGTTCGGGTCCCACTTTAGTCATGATATGATTTATAATCGAATGTTAGAGTAGATCGAAAATAGACAACTGCTGTTTTATATGTCTCGTTTAATCAATTCTATATAATGAATGGTTGACAGGTTGAGAGTAACATAAAAAGTATCTATCAGCATTTTATTTCTCTACTAGATGTTTTATAACGATAACGATAAGGCCAGCATAGACTCTTTTAAGTAGTTGCACAGGCACATTTTACTCGATACGATATAAAAGAAACACGTTTGAAATGTTGTATGGGTATGAGAATAATATCTTTCTTAACCACACACAGGATTTATGGATATAGTATGTCAATAAAGATAACAATTCATTAACTTGAATAGATTATAAAACGATGCATTTCTTTGGACACATTTATGTCAAAATTTTATAATGTTTAATAGTCTCAACCTACTCAAATACAACATCGATAAAAGGACACATGTTTTTTGTCGGAATAGGAAGAGTGGACTATTTGCTGCGATAGGCAATTCATTACTGGATGTAATGAATAGGGGTGACAAGTTACCGTTACCATTCCCGGGCAACGGCAACAGGATTGTTACCAGCTACTCGAGAACAGGGTAATGGTCATACTATTGGGGATATCCTGGGGTCCTCAAGTCGTACTATTAGAGGGTACCTTGGGTGTGGGTGTAGGTGTGTGGGTGTGCACTGTTTGGAAAGTACCACGCATCCACCCACACCCACACCCACACCCTTGTTCTGTTCCCCGTAGTTGTTTTTCTCTTTGCTCTTAGTGATATCTCAGGTAAAATTCTTTTTTTCGGCGAAGTGTACGATTTCTTATGTGTCTCTATCAGTTATTGCGCAGGTTAAAACAAAAAAATAAATGTAATTTCGACTTCTTGTGCCTCTTTCCGTTTTTCTTTTGTGGTATATTGCATAATTAGAAGGAACAACTCAGTGTTCCACCTCTTCTCATCTCTTCTCTTCATGAATAAATACACCTGTGTTTTCTCGAATAACGAAAACAAGCAGAGTGAAGTCGTGTGACGAAAATCAACACAGAGTAATGTGGATAAAAGTCGTTGCAGTCTGAGCTGATATCCTGGATAAGGTCGACCGTCTCTATCAAGAGTACTAGATTTCGCTAATGTTTTTCGGTGGCAAGCTTTCAATTTTATATTGCTAATTTTTCTAGTCGTTTTTTTGATGGTATATAGTACGGGACGTTTTCAGAATGAAAGCGAATGACTTTTTTTTGGAAAAAACAACGAATAAAAGAACTAAAAATGGCAGTATTTCTATTTATTACTCTTGTAGTGACGCCCTTTATAGAGCCTCTACAGCCCTAATATAATATAAGACGGAGTTCATATATCACACCTGTTTTATCCAATTGGGATCTGTATGGACCCCAGGTTGACAACAAGTGATAGTCTTTAAGGTTGCCATGTCAGAGTTAAATAAAAATATAAAGACAAGGGGATATTTTGAATTTTATTTCATTACGTGTTCACGATAGTTATTATGATTACTTATAGCAATGTTCGATCCTTTCTTATAATTTATTAAAAGTTTTTTTTTATTCTACTTTTCGAAAACATGTTTAGCTATCTTGGAAATCGCATGAACGTGTTATATTTCATTAGTCTGATCATCTTCAAGAATCTGTCTTCAAATTTAGCAAAATTCGTGTTAGTTAGGTTCCAGTGGTACGGGTGATGAGATATGAATTATTTTTAGATAGATTAGTAGTAAGCCATGTGATGATAGCTAAATTAGTAATAAAGATGAATCAGCAAATACTATTGTTCATAGAGACAAATTTGAACCAAAACTTTGTTTTGTATATAAGAGCATCGAAACCTTTATTCAGGTAATAAAACAATTCTTTTTGACTTTAATATATCAAATAAAAAAAAACGGTTAATGATAAGCATCACTTCAAATAATGCACATTTCTTCTCTTTCGAATTTTTCTGAATAGAGCCCAAAACTTTTTAGATAACACTCTAGTTACTCTCCATTTTGACAATGATTTAGAAAAAGCTAATATAGAAAAATCGAAGAAATCTGAATAAAAAAAATCGTCAATTGATTTAAAAACTGTACATTTTTAATCAATTTTCTAAGCTATATCGAGTCATATATACATAAATGAAAAATAATATCTATTCGAATCTTATATTTTTTATAGACATTAAGTATTGATTGCCTTAAACATATTACAAATAAACATATTAAAATCAGAGACAATTCACGCAGAATTCGATCAACAAATCTCAGTTTCTCTTTTTTTTCATTTCATTTTCTACGACGCAGAATATCTTCTATAAAATCATTCGTATAATGGAATCTTTCTAATTTTATGTAATGATTCTAATTCATTTAAAATGAAAAAAACTATAAAGCAAATCATTGTTCATATACATTCTGTTTATTTAAAGTGTTTGTTGCATGTGTCACCTCGTAATAGTTGTCACTGTAAAATGTTGAGGTTGCATTGGTCGTATTCTAGTATTAGAATAACATAATTTCTTCAGTTGTATTACAATCTCAGAAAGACTTATCAAACAGACAAATGACATTAATAATAGTACAATATAAACACCATAAGCAAAATAGACCATAGTATAGACAAAGAGAAAGTATGGATCGGTCCAAACTCGAATCAATCCGAAGATTGTCAATGGCAAATAAACAATCAACAAAAGAAAAGAAATCGAAAAAAGTTGAATAGCAAGTTTACGAGTAGTGCGCCAAGTGCGACCACGTCGCATCTTATATTTTTGATGAACTACTCGTAGAACGAGAAAAATATTAAAAATAATCGTAAGAAGAACAGGTATAAATGAACTAATTATCCAGTCAATTGAACTTATTATTGATTAATATATATAGCATGCACCAAAACACCATAGTTGACTATAATCAAATTGTTGTTGACATGGATAAAAGAAAATGAGAATAAAGTACCATATCAAAAGTAAGATAGATGGTAGAAGAATGGGTATATAATGTTTAATATGAGTATTCATAATATTTTTGTAAAAGATAAGAAAATATCGTTGAATTGAGGCTATTGTCATTATCCAACAACTAGATGGAAAAAGAAGATAGTTGATAAAGATCCAGAAAAGACAGAGAGAGTAAGATGTTAGAATAAGTTGACCAAAATAAAGATAGACAAGTGTAATTGGTAATTCGATTGATGTAATCAAAAAATTGGAGATTAATAAACAGATTACACTGAAATAAAATTCATTATGTATTAATTAAAAAAAGAAACTAAAGACTTTTGAGTTGCACATAGTTAGCGTTATAATTCACACAGTAAAGATTAACTAAAATACTTTATTTTTGAATAATTCATAAAAAATATAAATCACGAAATATCATTAACAACAATTAATATTTTCCAAAATATATATTTTATTGAAGCTGAGTCTTTGCTCACATTTTTGTTTTTATAATGATAAATAAATATACTAAAAACTATGCGATAGAAAAAAAAAATATCCAAAAATTTTTAAGTACTCTGAAATTTCTTTAGAATTATTTTAGAAAAATTTTCCTTTAATCTATTTTATCTTTTCTAGTTTTTGCATATGTTAAACTCATATATTGTTTCTCAGTTTTCTCAATTATATATAACTACATTTTCTATTCATTGTATACAATTGATATACTTTCGTCATGTAATATAAATAAAGTTCTATATTCCATTTGGAACACGAGGGAACATTCCTCAATGTGAATCTCTATTTTCAATCGATTTTATGCCAGTTAGTAGAGCTCAATGAGTTGATCATGATGGCATAAAACGTTCTTCTCCGTAGATTGAGCTTTGAAGAGTTAAGTTGATTTTAACTTTAGAAAAATAACTGTACGCTGTTATTTGGGGAAACTTCAGTTTATATATTAGCCTAGTTCTAAACATTCAAAGTTTTAGCATTGAATGCGTCTTAATTGACTGTATGTATCGATAATAAAGATTTTTTGGGAATACTATTTAAAAGGCGTAGTCATTAAAGCCTTGTTAGACATCTTGTTTTGAATAGATTAACACTCCTCTTGTGAACTAAACTAATATACAAGCTGAATTTTCTCAAATAGCAGCTTACAGTAATTTTTCTGAAGTTAAAATTGATTTAGTTCTTCATAGGCAGTCTACAGAATAGAAATCTTTATGCCATCATGATCAACTCATCAAGCTCTACAAACTGACATAAAGCTGATTGCTACTAGAGCCTTACACTCGACGTCTTTCCTCGTCTGTATAATTATAGCGAATTGAACATATGACTTTAGAAAATAAGATGTCATTGACACGTGTAGAAAAATTGCCAAGGTATAAAAAGTAATGCATTAAAAAAAAATGTTACTTACACATGATTGTGTAATTTTGCTCGTAATTCTCGTAATCATGCAAAATAATAAAATATAATCAAACTGCATAGAACCGAAGGAATTTGGCAACTGAATAAGACGCTAAATTTGAACATTCTACTGAATGAGGTATCCAATGTAGAAAAATCAGTATATTCGTAATCCATAGTCTCATTGCTGTCGGCTGTCATTTTCTTTGTTCTATCTTTCAATGAGAAGAATAATATTAATTTTGCAAGTCAACCTTTTTTTTTAATGTAAAAGCAGATTTTCTGTTAAAGACAACTTTAATTTGCAACGATCACAAGATTTTAATTCTAAATTTATAAATATATACAATAAGTGAATCTTTCAGATAAATTTTGTACTTGAATAGATCAAAAAAATATAAAGTAAATTACATAACTAATTGAGAAAAAAATTCCTTGAGATTCTATTTTATAAAAAAATATTGCATGAACTATTAGTCTAAATATTCAATTTTGAAAATGTTATTCAACCTCATTTACATTGTTGTCAAAGTAAATTTTTTTTAAACCTTATTAAAAATCAAGAGTTACATAAAATTTGCATAACATTTAAAATATTCTCAATCGTTTAATGTACATAAAATACCGCTAAAATTAATGGATTTCTACTTGTTTTTCTGATCGATTTTCAAACAGAAAATCAATGAGTCGGCAGATTAGTCATAATACCAAGAATAATAGAGAAGAGTTCCCCACATATCGATACATCATGTTATGAGAAAGCACATTACATAAAAAGTCAGTTTTCATTTAAAAAAAATCCACATCAACTTGGTAAAACTGTGATATATTTTTTTTTTGAAATAGTTAAGATATAAAGTTACTAAATAACTAAAACTAATCCCATTTGATTATATTTTTTCCATAAAAATCTTGTTTTGCATTCGAAACATATGGTCCTGCATCAATTTCATAGATACACATAACTGGACAATGATCTGATGCAGAATAACCTCCAGTACAAAATACATTTTGTAATGTATTTGCTAAAATAGGACGTGAATATTTATTTTACATTATCCAATCTAATGTTGTCCCAACTTGAATATCTTCTTTAGGTTCACTAGAACGTTCAGGATGTGTGATTGGAGTTGGTAATCGTAATTCAGCAAAACAATCAACATAACCAGCTTCACGTAAAATTCGTCGTGGATGATAATTTTCATTTAAATCACCCATAAACAACACAACTAAATGAGGATTATTAAATTTACCTATCAAATCTTCTAAAGCAGTTACAGTGCAACGTGTTTGTTGTTTACGTAAATTGATACCTGTTTTACGCTCTTCTCCATGACCTTCCCAAGTATAATGAGCAGTTGCCACAAATAATTGTCTTTGTTGTTCATTTTGATTTGTAGATACTTTAATTGTTAATCGTACTCAAAACAAACGTCGCAATGGTTCCATTATACCCATATCAACCATTCCATATTCTAACATATTGAACGTGTTAGAATTCCAATATATATTACCTTCATATTGCCAACCAGAAAAATCATCTTGTATAAATGCATGAGTTGGTAATGCTTCTATAAGAGTATCATGTAATAATGGATGTAATTCCTGTATACATCGGATATCAGGTGTAAATGCTGTCATACATTCAATGATTTGTAAACGACGTTGTGGCCAGTTTATGGGATAACCATCTGTTTTGCACATATTAAAAGTCATTACTGATATACGAGAGATATTCATTATTAGAGAATTGAAACAAGTTTCAATAGATATTTTATAATTTATAATGAAAGAGTTTTTTCAAAAAAAAATATATAAACTAGATACAGTTACAAAGAAATCTTCGTCACAAGACAACGAATAACAGAATCGTATCTTTATCTTCAGTGGTAGACGAATGTAAATCAAGAACATACTCTGCACATGATGTATTATAGAAGCAAACAACGACAATGTAGAACAGATAAGAACCAAAAAAGTGATAAAGTATAAAAACAGTTCATACAGGGTGTTGCAAAACCTTTTGCTGCATCCCCAGGTTCGACCTTAAGGTAAAATGAATTCACTAAGTATTTTATACTAAATTGAAGCCCGTAAAAAAATGCATTTATTGATACTAAATGATAAAGGTTATGAAGACCTTTTAATGTCGAACTTCCGAGATTTTCAGGAATTTGATACCTTTTTTGATGTCGAAAAGTAAGATGCCAGTAATTCAAAAACGAAATAAAACGTTTTTCTTAGATATTTTTACATGATTCCATAGAGCTCGATGAGTTCTACAAAACTATACATTTCAAAAATACTTTGAGCCATCTTTTTGTTATAAAAAATTCCAAAAACAACGCGAAAAATTCCAAAAAATGTGGTTGTGGGTGTGAGTGCTCAAACACTTTGAGGATAAACAAAGCACGCACATTCACACCCCATTACCACACTCCACACCCTAATTTCGTCAGAGTTGACTGTTTTTGCTAACAAGTTTTTTTAAAAATCAATTGCTTTGTTTATAACAATGTTAAAATTCACTGAGTTTTATTAGTTTTAAAACCGAAGTCTGAACATAACAATTCTTCTGAAAAAAAAATCGAAAAACTCCAAAACTTTTTGCGTGTCCTTTAAACTGAATATTTACAATGTAGAACAGAAAAATAGTAGAACTAAGCTTGCCAAAACTTAAATGATAAGTATTTTATTGTGATAAAGAAACAATAGAAAGAGATTTTATATTATTGTTGCACAACTTTATCTCGTCAAGTTTTATTAATATTTATTACAACGAAATAACAATTGCAAGACGAGTTCATTCATACAACTCAAATCCAGCTATATTCATTTTTTTCAATAGATTTTGTTTTTTTTTTTGAAAAATTTCTAAAAATGATGTGAATAAAAGCACTATTGACATGACTTTGGTTTTTTTAAGTTAAGATGAAAAAATTGAAGTATATTTTACAATTTCTCACAAGTATGTTCTGTTGATATTAGTCATCATACATTTGACGTCATCAAACACGTCAACTGATAGTAGATGATTATTATATGACGCAGTTATTTCATTCAACATATAAAAAACAATCCGTCAACAAACACAGTATCAGTTTTACTTTTGGGCAATTTCATTGATTATTCTCGATGGCGAAATACAATATTAAAGATCCTAGAGCAATTGTCTGTAACATCCTTGCTTCGATTAGTTTCATTGGTATAATTATGCTTTTTACAATGGGTGGTATCTTTTTCGTGAAAGAACATCCCAAAGTGTTGAACTATGTCAACAGCACGTGTCGAGTTGACTTAGGTTCATCAAAAGCGTATACATGTAGAACACGCTACAGTTGGTACACTTGTTATGGTGCAATATGGGAAGTACATCATGGAGAAAATAGAACCATATTTGCAGTAATAGAAGAAGAAAAGCGATTTAGATCTTATTCGGCTGCATACAAAAGAGTACAAGAATATCAAGTAAGGAAACATTCAAAACGAGATCTCTTTAAAAAATTAGTAACGTGAAAGCCTTTCCAGATGTTTCTACATCCACACCCACATATAATTGCTTGTATAAAAGGTTTTGGAATCGTTAGACGAAGTATCTCTGAAATACGAACTTTTCAAAACATTTTCGTATTGTAGAATACAAGATGGAAACAGGTCTATTTTTATAGAGTTCATAACTTGAAGATACTAAATTCAAGAATTCTGAAACTCTTTATTCACGTAAGTGTATGTAAATTGAAGAGCAATGTGAAATAGTGCAAAAATGTTACTAATTACATTATATAGAACGTTCTCACTATTTCTAAGACATGTTGGAGGGTGCACAAGAAATTAAAATTATCCCAATCTAAAAACTTCTTCCAATTATAATCTATCTTAATCCTTTTAGTTCTTTTAGTCTTTTTAATCTTTTTAGTCTCTTGACGGGTGTACGTGTGAATGCGTACTTTCTGTCTGTCTACAGTCATATACACACCAATACCCATACTCGTCAAAGAACTAAATGGATCGAAGGAACTACCGGAAATGAAAATAGTTCTAGGATCAAAAGAAGTAGAGGGTGATGGATCAAAATAATAAAAAGGATTAAAATATATGAAAATCTAAAGGAAAGATAGACCGGAATAAATTTGATCTCTTTTGGACCTATGATAAAAAATCAATATATGACGATCTCGTATAATTTCTTTTCTTTTTAATATCATCAACGATAATATTTCATGATAAAGATTAGGTATAAAATGAAGTTGAACAATGTATTACTTATTCCGAAAAGATCTGTAGTTTTTCAAAAAATAACTGAAGCTTTTTTTTTTATTTGCATTGGTTTTGGCAGTGTTATAAAAATAAATGACATATTTTCAGTGTTAAAAGCTCTTTTGTTTTTTAGGTTGGCTCATCATATCCGTGTTGGTATGATACTAGAAATCCATCAGTTGCTCAATGGAGCAAGCCCAGTACTCGTGTAGGTATTATTCTCCTTTCTTGTGGTGGGTTATCTGTGTTGCTATTTGGCATCTTCTTATTTATTGTCATTCAACTTGTCAAACAGGAAAAACTACAGCAAAGATACAATACGAATGATTCAACTTTTAATCCTGATTTTGCTATAAAACAATAAAGCTAAATAGTAATAAACTATCAAATAAAATTTTCGTGTAAACTTTTTTCTATTGCGATAAACTGTCATTATTGTCTTTGGTAGTTTTCTTTTTAATTTTTTGCAATAAAGAGAAACTTGTATCTGTTAATTTGATTTATTTTTCAAATCTGAGTTTGTTGGACCATTTAAAGAAGATCAATTGTTAGTCTCATCTAGGATGTGGGTGTGGGTGTGGATGTGGGCGTCGGTAAACAGAAAACATACTCACACCCTTATAACACTGATTACATTCTAGATGCTGAAAGAAAGAGTATAATGCATGATTCTGTCGATATGATTGAAATAAAAGAGATAAACTCAGAATTCTTCAGATGAGACAATCACTAATTTAAAATGTATCATAAAATAGAAAGAGCAATCAGTTAGATAATTTATTTTCGCATCGACCATTCTTTATGGTTTCAAAATTGTTAGAATTTTTACAAGCAAGAATTTTGACACTTCTTGCAACATAAATTAAAGATAGTGAGTCTCCATTTAATTTTAGATTGAATTAATTTATTTATTGACTCATTATGAAATTAATAAGTATAGATATCTTTTATTTTTATGTTTCTAGTACATGAGCAAAGTCTCGGATTACACTTCATTGTATCTCCATAAATATAAGTTTATACATTTAGAAAATTGTTTGCTTTCTATATGATATTTTTTTTTATAGGCTGATACGAAATATCTTCTTATTCTAGATTTTGGGTGTGGGTGTGGGTGTGGGTGTGGGTGTGGGTTATGAGAAAAACAATAAACACACCCACTCGAACATTCACACCCACACCCTCACACCCACACACCCACACCCACGGTCTTTTCATGGTCAAAGTATATTGTAAGAACTCGTTATTTTGACCAAATTGTAACTTGGACTGATATCGTCGTATAATTTTTCTAACCTGAGAACCCATTAACTAATCAACAAAGAATGGAGTCGAAGACTTTTTAACTCCTTCAAAAATTAACAATACAATATTTTGTTACAACAAAAAAATTACGCACTTAAAACATTATCTGGAACTTATAGAACAAGTTTTAGCACTATCGTACATATTGCGGCTACAGAAGGAAGATGATAAACGAGGCTATTTTTATCATCTAGTAGGAAGTATCCGAGAATTTTTATCTATGAAAAGTTTCACACTGCTCATCGAGCTCGATACACCTAACTGATTGAAAGTTATTCAAAAGATGACTATGACGATCGAACTGTGGCACAGACATTCATTTTATCAGAATGTCTTATATTTTATCAAATGGTCAATTCTCAAATAATGAAGCTTTTAGTTTTCAATACTTCTGTAGATGTTCCTAGTTCCTTCAATCTTCCAACAACTATTTTAATTCATAATTATTACTCGATCCATACATCAGAATCTGTCCATCTTTGAAATTATCCTTTTTTTGTATTTAAAGCAGAAATAAGTATTGATGAATAGTGATAGGATTATATATTATACGTTGCAGCCAATAAAAAATATATACATCATAGCAGATATACAAAAAAAGAGCAAGGTACCGCCTAGCGAGGTATTCACAATAAATTATGAGACAATAAGATACAAATAATAGTAGAAGCAAAAAGAGAGAGATAGAGTAAATATCACATGTCGTTATTTTTTACTTTTTTTTGCTTTTGCATTGTACTATTTTTACTATATTTTCTGATTGATATTATTTAATTAATTTTGATAAATAATTATATTTTCTTTCGCTTTATATTCAAAAAACGTATGATCGTTTATCAGGAACATTCTACTAGGCACTTTATCTTACGTATAAATGTTTATTAATTTAAGTTATTGCGTTATTACGTCATCACGTGAAAAAAGCACGTGTTACAATCGGTAAGTGGGTGCGGTCCTGTCATGACAACTATATTTATTTTTATCTTTTCTGTTCTTGGCGTACATAGCATAACACAAAGATCAGCAAGTAAATGTCGTTTTTTTTTCTGTAGATCTTATAGCATATCTTCATTGTTATTTGTATTCATTTAACAAACGAGTATCATGGCTAGTAATCTTACACGCACTTTTCAAATGGTCTTAAATCAGGTGCTGATAAAGCTAAAAGAAATTTTATAAGTTACTCTTTTATTTATTTGACTAATTTGATTCTTCTTCTATTATTTGTAGTAAACAAGTACAACTATCATCTTTCACAAATCTTTATACCTACTCCGTATTGTTAAATATGTAATCAAGTAATGTTTAAACATAGTCGTTTCGTAAGCCTCATCGTTTTTTATTTACATATACATTTTTGAATGTTTTTTGTTTGTATTTAATTATGCGAGTTTTTTTTTTTGAATAAGAACAAAACATCAATCGAAAACTAAGAGTGGATCTTCTAAGTATTTTTGCGTTCAGAAAATTAGAAAACTAAGCAGATAAGTTCCAAGTTCGTTCTGAATTTAATCTAAATTTTTTATTGAAAAAAAAAGTGCAAACTATTGTAATAGATGGTCCTACGAAAAAATTTACTCTATTATGAAACATATTTCTTCGATGAATATTACGGATACTAGTCTGACATAAACTGATTATCTTTCTATCGAGATCTATCAAACCTTGATCGACATTCTAATTTTCTAACATTAGATAACTGAACAAAATGTGAAGATAAGTAATACTTTGACGTGTGTTTTTTTAGACGAACCATAAGAGCTAAAATTGCCTTGGTCTTTTTCTTTCAATCAATATTATTAAATTTTAACATGAGTTATCAAGAAAGAACTTCTTTTTTATGACTCTCGATAGAAAGAAGCAAACTCAAATTTAAATTAAAAATATAGAGATGAATTAGTAGAAATAATGTCGTTTCTCAGTCGAATAGAAACGATGATATATGAATATAACAACGCATAGAAGCAGAATGATATAATTCTATTATTAAGAGTAAGGAAAAAAGGAAACATAGTTCAAACGAACGTCTAACACACTCCGCTTCGTTAAGTACAGAAAAGAACAGAAAACAGTTGATAGCATTCTTACATACGATTGAAGAATAGAATAACATTTTCTAGGTTTTTTTTTTCTTTTCGAGATTTTTTTTAAGATTGTTTGGCGAAACTAGCATCCTTCACATAGCAAACAAACACCTAAATTTCATAGTTCGAAATGGATTTTATTGCTCAAAAGTGGTTATATTTCAGTCAGGAAATCATCTTTAACAAAATAAATTTTCTCTGAATCTGGTCTGTGGAAACACCTCCGCCGCACTTTTTGAAAATAAAATTTTGTTAAACGATATATGCTAACGTACGTCACCGGCATAGTTTCACATATTGATTGTAAATATTATCTTGATTTTACTCTAGTTGTTATTTTATAACTCAAAAATCACACACTTTACCTTTTGTGTAAGTACTTTTTAATCTAGTTTAATGCGTCGTTGCATTACCACGTGGAAAAAGTCCCGGCCCTAGGCGAAAACTATCTAATTAAGGGTTATTTGCTTTGAAACTTGTGTCGAAGCAAGGACTTGGTGAGTTCCAATCACAGGCAAAAGCTCGAGTCCTGCCCTCTTACTCAGGCTGAGATATTAGGTCAACGCCAATTGTTTTTTCTTCATATTTTTTGACGAAATTATGTGATATTTGAAGGAAATGCTGGTACTTTTCGATTTGTTGAAATAAAGGTAATATTTTTAGTGCAATAGGTAGTTCCGATGGTGATATACCTATATTAGAAAGGTCGCCTACATTTGCCGTACCCTAGTGATTTTCCAGAACTGTCGGTCCAGAGGTATAGAACAGTATGAACCTCCATCTCTGTAAAGGCTATAATGCTGAAAATTTTAGCATAAGTTTGCCCATACTTATGCAGTCTAGAGTAAAATTTTCAGGTCGAACAGCTGAGCCTAGCTCAAGATTTGAGTCGCATACTGGTAGGGTTGCAATAGGCCAGTTCCGTGTGTAAGTGGTATATAGATCACAATTTAACGAAGACACGTCGGCTTGCAATGAAAATTTTACTACAGGGAGACTCAGACCAGGACTTTTTGATGATGACTCGAGTGGTATTGTATGTCTTTCCTATCCCGAGATAACACAATACGAAAAAATCCTTGGCGTTGATCGAATATCTCAGCCTGAGTAAGAGGGCAGGACTCGAGCTTTTGCCTGTGATCGGAACTCACCAAGTCCTTGCTTTGGTACAAGTTTCAACGAAAATAACCCTTAATTAGATAGTTTTTGTCTAAGGTCGGGACTTTTGTCTACTACTGTATATAGTCATGCGATCAAACCTGTATTTATTTTTATCGTTTCTTTTGTCGATGCAAATAGAATAATATAACGATCTTCTTCTAGATTTATATCGTATTTTTATTGTTATTATTATTCATTTAACGGTTATTACGTATCATGGCTAATAGTCTTACACGTACTTTCTTATTTGGTTCACGAGGTAATTAGAAAGCTTGATTTCTGTAATTATTTTTTCAAATAATTACTTGATATTTTAGTGGTACAAACAAGCTTTGTACGTACACTCACTTCTCAAGGTTCAAAAGGAAGCGGTACCAATACTCAATCAGGTGGTTATGGTGGTAGTGGTTTATCATCTCAACAATCAGGTGGTCGTGGAGGCAGCGGTTCATCATCACAACAATCAGGTGATCGTAAAGGCAGCGGTTCATCATCACAACAATCAGGTGATCGTAGAGGCAGCGGTTCATCATCACAACAATCAGGTAGTACTGAACGCACTAGTCCAACAAGCCAAAAAACAAATGTTCTTGGAGCCGATGGTGCTGATTAAGCTAAAAAAACTATGTAAGCTAACTTTTATTTATTTCATTGATTTAATTTTTTTTTCTATTTATAGTAAGCAAGCGTAACGATCATCTTAAATAAATCTTTGTACTTATTCCATTTTTTTTAAATATGTAATCAAGCACTACTTAAACATACCGATTTCGTTAGCCTGACACTTTTTTTACATACATTTTTTTGAATTCCTTATATTTTTATTTGATTTCACGATATTTTTTTTTTTGAACGAAAATATAATAAAAAATATAAAAGCTTCAGATGATCGTCTCAACATCGGTCGAAAACTAAGTGGAAGACGTCCAAATATTTTTGTGATCAGGAAATTAGGAAAACAAACAGTCAAATTCAATGAAATACGTACGAATGAAGGCAAACAAAAATAATTAAAAATGTTAGTTCGTCTGCGTTATTGGACGATGACAACTTTTTTGCTACAACAAAAGATAAACCGTTGATGAAGTCAAATTGCTGAAATTAGGTGATTATTGTATTGATTATACTAACATACGCAGCACTTTCATCAGATAAACTTTTAATAGAAAATCTTCTCACGTTATCAACTAATTAATCCAAAGTTTGTTTGAGGAATGTATCCTATTATGATAGAGTTAATGAATCATGTACTTCACCTTCACAAGTATAATTTGTCTGATTAAAAAAGTCAAATATATTCTATAAATCAATATTCAACAGAACAATCTTTCTTTCATTTATCTTTATAAAGTTTCATTTTCGATATTTTTACGTTTGACCAAAGTTGAATTTAGCTATAAAAACCTCTTTTATGCGTCTATTCCGATAGAACTTGAATATTCATCTTCAATTAATCAATTGGAGAATATTAGAACGAATCTTAGTAACAGCTATAAGTTGAAGTCAAGAGCAAATATCCAAAATATAACATTAAAAAAAAGTACTAATTAATACTTTGATAGACCTGCCATCTACACATTCTTTTCATAGACACACTGAACTGTACAAATTAACGAGAAGATTTTTCACATTAGAATTTGTCAGATTGGTCTAATATTCGGTTCTAAAAAAATTCCTGTTGACCAAGGTTGAATCTGGAAGTTGTATATTGGCTGAATTCGAGTCCGATTCAACAGGTGCCATTCTGAAAAAAGGATCCAACTATAGCTTGATTCTTATGGAATTATCGTCAAGAGTATAAAGTTTTCGCAAAATAAATTTTGATACTCAGAAACATAGGAACACAATTGGTGTGAAACATTAGAAATAGTACAGAGAACTCCGCTCAGTGTAGGATGCTAGAATCGAAATAGAGCTAAGAAATCTTAATCTTTATATTTTGCATCAAGATCATTTTGACGAGTGTACCCGCTAAAAACAGTAAAAGGATTAATTACATCTGCCTGTCACTGCACTTTATCTAATACGGCAAAACTGTGGGAAGTGTTAACTAATTACACATTTGTCTAAAGCAGTTCTTCAAACCACTCATAAACCTCATTTTGCACCTATGTGATTTAAGCATACATCCAGCATAACATGCAGATGAGAATGTATCCTCATGAAATGAATAAACAGATAATTTCGTCAATAACGAGTAGCTGACTGTTAATATTTATTTTTTAAACTCGTAAAATTATTACGAAAGAAAGAAAATTAAAGGAAAAATTACCCATGTAAAACAAATGATCAAAATAGACTTCTGCATCAATAATTGCATAAATGTGGCAAAAAACCTATTTCAATAGATTATGTTTTAAAAATAATCCATTAAAAAAAATAAGAAAAAATCGATTAAAAATCTAATCTATTCAAATTCACTTCGCACTTAATCAATTATAGTCGATTGCTCAAGATTTTTCATAAGTAATAGATAAAACAGTAAGACATCTACTAGTGAACACCACTCTATAATAAAAACCTTATTTCTATGAACGTTTTTAAAGAATTCAAAAAATCGATTTTTGCTGTAGAACTTTATTTTAATCAGATTTTTAGTTATTTTTTTTTTCTTCATATAGATCTAACATACAATGAAAATTAATAAATTTCAGTAGATTTTAATCCGAAAAAAAATCAATTAAAACACCTTTTTTTACAGTTTAATCAACTTTCATAGATCTTTTAATGTGATTATCCATCTTAATTTAAAACTATTTAAATACGTGTTCCAACATTATCCTCTTTGCATGACTTAGTACAGTAGTATGTTCGATGAGTGTGATTAAAATAGATTAATAAGTAATTATAAATTAAGATAGATGAACTAGCATTCCATGTAGAAGCAATTGAAAATATCTTGTAATTGAGTTTAAATCGCAATATAATTGATTTTAATCCAGTTTTACCACTTTTTTTTTACATGAGTACGGAACATCTTCTGAACTCAAAGTATATTAAACGAGTTGTGTATTCTAATTTTGAATAAAGAATTAGACTTGATATTGATTTTCTATTTCTTGCATGGTAACTGTGATTCCATTAATTCTATTCTATTTATTATTATTTCAAATAATGTTTTAACAAGAGTTGAAATCTGTCAGAATATATCTCATTCATGATTAACATCAAAACTATCAACTACTTTCATATATCTATGAGCTATATTTTTTGTCTTAGATATACAATTATGTTGAAAAAAATAGTTTTTTCTTGTGACAGAAAATCACAATAGGAAAATTTCAGAGTATATGCTTATCTTTACTTTCCTGATACATATCAAATTATATGTCCTATAGTTATTTTTCCTTGATAGTCCTATTACGTATCAGTGAATAGACAAAACGACGTTTTTCTATTTTCTACCTAGTGATCTTCTATTATATTTTGTTATTATTTCATTAAACTTCGGTTTCCTTTGGAATAATTGAGTTAATTAACATACACCTTTGTAAATCTGAAGATTAAAAGTTTTTCATAAGATTGAGCGTGGATGTGTGGGGTATTCGTCTTCTTTCTGTCTCTTCTTCATTAAAATATATCTATTACTTGTTTTTGGATGTTAAATTATGTTTTATCATCATAGAAGATATCGGTCGGTAAACAGAGATAATAAACATTTGGTAGGATACATTTCGACTATCTTTCGGTAATAAATGCAATACAGAGTCTCTTCAGTTAAATGCACAAAAAAATGATAAGAACACAAAAATGCATACACTTAAAAACGCGAAGCACATGAATAGAAAGGTATTACTACAAGTAAAATAGACAAATGTATAGTTTTAATATCTGGCATCTGATGAGTTAAAATATCCTAGTATTCGGAGCACTAAAAAATTATCGAGGTAAAGAGGGTGATGATGATTTTATCGTAAAATGTAGACTCCTAGCTATGATGACATTAACATTTCGTCCATACAAAAGGACATATCAGGCGACTCGAGATAAGAAGATTTCTTTAGATAGAACTTTAAATAAGATGCAAGTCGAAAACATGTTATTTCAATTATAATAATATAACTGATGATAGTCCGAAGACTTTTTTCGTTTGTATTGTGTGTATGAGATCGATTCTTCACTCAGGTAGAACAATATGACTAACTTAAATGGAACGTATACGACCGTAAAGTCGACATATATTCGTGGATGTGGATGTGTGTAAAGAGATTCAACATCCACACTCGCACATCCTACATCTATCCTTGTATACGAGTTATACAAATTATTATGTGAGAGCATTTAGGCAAGGAAGAAATATGAGACAGTGAATTATATTCGATAAATATCGATATGAAACGTAAAATGAGAAAGAATTAAAATGATCTTTTTGCATAAATTTAAGGATTATTATGATGACGGTACACAAAAATAATAATATCTTATTATGAATAGTAAGTAAATAAAGTAATTACAAGAGAACATAGTTCATAAGTAATTCTTTTTTCATGTAAAACCTATATTGATATCTGTGATTCCCTTCGACATATCATGTAGAACACTAAATTTATTTGATATAAATTTACACTATGTATAGAGTATTTCTTTTCCAATTTTCTAGTCGTCTCTGAGTAACTCATGTAGGTAAGACAAGAATAAAAAAGAAACAGTTGTCTGACATAATGTCAATGAAATTTCGCAGAAAGCTGTAGGCTTCAAATTAATTTCAATATGATAGAAACTAAATGTTTCATGGATTATATTATATTTCAATTAGTTTATTTGTTTACTGTTCATAATACGATACTTTCATTCATTATATCATTTCAGATACGAGTAATGCGTTAAAATGACTCGTGATGTGCCAAGCTACTATATTGTTGCTTTTGAAATAATTGTTCTGTGCTTTTCGTACCATTTTTCTCTCTGCCTAGCTCACAAAAAATTAATGTGTCTATCGCTTATTTTTCGTTATAAAAATATCTCGCGTTTGATTTAATCATTTTGAAACGACGAAAATTATTATCGACATAGATTGCTTATAGTTGAACGATTTTTATTGACTGTCTGATTTATTTTTATCGCAATGTACTTCATTCTTATTGGAATGAAAACGGAAGAAACTCGAAGTTGTTTTATTTTCCTACCAAGTAAAAACTTCTGTTTTTTTTTAAATAATAATTGTGAACTAGAGTAGTTCGATTACTTAAAAAATATTAAAAATGAAATCATAGATTGACTTTAGCTCAGAGAATAATATTAAAATATGAATTTCCTTGTTTGTTAAATAGTTGTGATGCAATGAGTATACGTGTCATCATCTTTAGAAATTTTAAGTTGCTCGTAGTTTATTAACTGGCGATTTTCGTTTCTTTAGAGACATCGGTAATTTTTGTTTTATTTCTTATCCTTCATGATAGAATTCATATTATTATGCGTGCAACTCAAAAGAAATTGAAAAACAAACATACATTGCCAAAGATTTCAAATTTATTCAATGAAGGGAATGTAACATAAGTAAATGAATCTTCGTGGGAAACAAGCCTTATGCAAATGTTGTTACATCGAAAATATCTAGATATGAATATTTCATTTTCTAACGATAAGAGTAAATTCGATTTGGATTTGCAGTCT